CCCCAAAACCCCAAAACCCCAAAACCCCAAAACCCCACATTTGTGTAAAATAATTGAAATCTTCTGCTATATTTGAACCTTATATACAACAAGATTTCCTTCATCATCGCCAGAGACAAGATAAGATCCGTCAGGAGTAAATCTTAGGCTGGTAACATTACTCTCGTGTAGCATTACACTTGTTACACATCTTTGTTTTTCAATGCTCCAAATCTTGATTACTTGATCACAGCTGCCTGTTGCAAAGTGGTTGTTATCAGGGTGAAAATCTCATCATAGAACCTCTCTAGTATGCCCAGTCATAGCAAGGATAATCTTATAAGACTCCAATTCTGTCAAATTTATATGTAAGTCATCACTAACAGAGATCATGTGCTTATTATCATTTGAAAATGCAATATCTCTAATAGCTTTTCCATGGTGAGGAAATGATCCTCCATGGGAGGCTCCTTCAGTTGTGAATTTATAGAAATGCATTCCTCCATCAATATCCCCACAAGCACAAAGCTCACCATTTTTGCTGTACTTTTGTACGTTTATAAACTGTCAGTCATTTCTGAACTCCTGAAGCTCTGCTGGAGCTTCAGAATCTAGCCCTAAAGATTATGAAAAACATACCTAGTCAACTCAGTGAAAGAGTTCCATGAAGGATCTCCTCTCTTGAAGGATGATAGTCGAATTTGAATAAGGAAATAGCATCCATATCATGAGAAGAGACTTCCTTTGCGCCTTCTTCCTCATGGATATCATAAACTCTGATCTTGCTGTCAAGTGAAGTGATGACCAGTCCTAATTATTATGAGGGGAGACCTTACTTGTTCCATCAGAATTGAACTTCAAGCATGATGCGCCTAATGAGAGCCCTTCAATTGTTGCCAAAGGTTTCTTAAAGTCTGTCTCTAAGCCATTAAGCTTCCTATTTAATACGTCAAATCACAAAAATCTTATAAATTTCTTACCAAATTTTGACAGTTTCATCAGAAAATCCTGTTGCGAGGTAAGGCCTGACCGGGTTCTGGCAGAAATCAAGACAGAAAATGGGCACTCCTCACTCATGTTGCTGTGAAGTCTATAGAATGAACTGGCTGATTTACCTTCTCAGTCATTTTGATATTGTTAATAAATTTATTCTATAAATGACTAAATATTTGGGGTTTTGGGGTTTTGGGGTTTTGGGGTTTTGGGG